CACCCCACCACACACACACACACACAAAAAAAAAAATACAAATCACCTTTTGTCTGTTCAGCCCAAGTTGGAGTCGCTTGGCAAGGAGCAGATGCAGAAAATTCTGCCTTTAATTTCTCATGAGCAAATTTTCAGGAAGCAGCATATTGTCCATGCCTCTGCGTCTTTATCTCTGTCCTTATCCAAGTATCCATGGAGCCTGTACATTTCTCCTTTTAATTCCGTTACTCTCTACACAGATAATACTTTTAAAAAATCATCTGTTTGTTGGTTTCTTATATCTAATTTGGTCGCTTTAAAATGGTTGTGCTTGAGTTAATTTGCTAACTGTTGTTATAGACAACTCATGTTTACACCTTCAACTTGTTGCAACATGAGACGTGGCTTTTCTAAACATCGCCTGAGGACCTCTACTCGTAGCTTATGTATTTAGCCTGAACTCAAGATGTTTGCTAGCTTATGTGACAGATCTTTGAATTGTCAGTTCTGCATGTCTTCTCCACATGGTTGGTTGTTCCATCAAAAGCTTGAACTATATCATCTTGCTACTTCTAGCTTATAGCCTCATTAAAAGTAACGAAATGAGATGTCATTTTCACTCTGTTGTGAGGATCCTGAATGTGAGGTTTTGCTTCCGTGCATAAATGCATGTCATTGTTTTAATAGGTATAACACTACAGAGGATCATGCTTTAATTAAATACAGCATGTTGAGAACTTTTCAGTTGTTTAAATACTGCTGTAACTATCTTGAATAGTTTTTGGATCTGCAACATGATTTTGTTCTGCAGTTCATGTGTAATTAGCAAGTATGATCTCTGAAACCACCACCAACTATAGCAAATAAAATTTGAGAGATCAGACTAATTAGGTCTTGAATTCATTCCTTCTCATTTACCTTATTCCTTCCCTTTCGTTTGATTCTTTTACACATCACTTACTTCTCTTACTACAATTATGTAGCAATTCTTCCTATAAGGTAAATTCTCCTATTGATAGGTTGAAGAAGCTGCACAACCATCTTAAAAGGCAGCCTGACGCACAATGCATCCCGCATTCACGCAGGTCCTGGGAAGGGCCGCACCCCAAGGGGTGTGATGTAGACAGCCTACCCTAATGCAAACATTAGTGGCTGCTTCCGTGGCTCGAACCCGTGACCTATAGGTCAAACAGAGAAACTTTACCGTTGCCCCAAGGTTCCCCTTACTGCACAACCATCTTAAAGTATCTGAAAACAAGAACTCATAAAACAAAGACTTATTTTTTTTAAAAAAAAAAAAAAACTGAAAACATAAGAACCTTCCACAATTTCCTGCTTCTTTTATTGGAATTCCAGTAGCCATCATAGGCTGACTGGATTGAGGAAATTTATCGGTTGAGAAGAAAGAGATGAAAAATTTGATATTAGAGGATATGCAAATATACCTCATCGACGACACTCTTAAATCTTGACATTATAGGATATGTGATGCATTACATTTGTTGTTCATGAGCTAAGTAGGTTCACTCAATATTTTACATGATTTCTTCTTTCACCGTCAGAACCAAAATAAAAAAAGTGAAATACTCCCTTCAAGATATCAACCCAAAATCTGATATCAGAAATGGGACTAATGACTGACGGTGAAGAATCAAATAAGAAGGATTTACAGTGATTATGGTGTCTCAGTTTAGCCCTTAATTCACATGCTTTCCCCTTGTTGTTGATCTGCAATAACCATAATTTTTGCCACTTTTTGCTTTATGTCCTGGATCTTCTTTTGCTGCTTTTACATTCTTATCAATCAGTTTCTTCTTCGCCTGTCTTTGTTGTTCCTTACTTGTGAACTTCCTGTTGTCTTTTTCTGCATGCTTGAATTCATGATTCCCGTAACGTTGCTCTACGCTTGTGCTTACTCCTTGTTGACTTGGACCAGATGAAGCGTCAGAAGTCATGGAGTCATCACTGCCACCACCTTCTTCAATATAATCAAGATTCTTGTATCCCTTCCTCGGAGTTCCTTCATCATCGTCGTCATCTTCACCATCACGATAAGGTGAACCGATATACATTGTCCAACCGGACTCATTACTGCTGCATTCTTCTGTTATACCTCCATTTTTTTTAGGATACTCCATTACCCTAACTGGAAAATGAAAGACACTCAAACAAAAAATAAAATGACTAACCTTCTTTACTCATTCCTCAATGCATGTTTATACCCAGATTGAATAAGATATTTGATAATTAGCTGGTGCAGCACAATAGCAAGACAGATTGGAATTGTAGGATTCTGTTCTTTCTTTCACTTATTAATACTTATCTGTCACACCTGAAATACCATCCTCTTTACTCTCAATGTCTAGCTCATAAATAGAGAAGCAGCTTCTGAAATGGAAATACAAGGAGGGTGTCCCACTCCAGAAATAGGTAAGAATGTGTTACCCCAATGTTCTTGATTAGATAGAAGAGGTCCTGTTACAGTACTCTTGGTTGTAAGAACCTTTAAATTCCTTGTCTGTTTCATCCACCAAAGATCAGCCTTTCATGTGAGATATGTGCATTGAAGCCAACTGTGTTTTGGCATCTTATATGAGGTTAAACAATATAAAAAAAGGACAGTCCGGTGCACTAAGCTCCCGCTATGCACGGGCTCCGGGGAAGGGCTGGACCACAAGGGTCAATTGTAGGCAGTCTTCACCTGCATTTTTGCAAGAGGCTGTTTCCGCGGCTCGAACTCGTGACCTACTCGTCACATAAGAGCAACTTTACCAGTTACACCAAGGCTCCCTTCGAGGTTGTAAAATATAGCTTAATGTAAAACCCCAACTTCCCCCTATATACAGTCAAGTTTTTTGGTGCTTTTGTTTTGTCCTTTGTCTGCCCTTATCTTTCACCTCATAAAGCAGGCATTTGTCTTTTGTTTTCTTTTTTTTNNGGGGGGGGGGGTTGTAAAACTGAAACTCACAGTAAACTTCCTGAAAAACTTTTGACTTTTGACAGTAGCTAATGAGTCAGCTATGTGATTATAGTTTGTTCAGTGCCCCTTTTTGACTGGGGCCTTTGATGGCAAAAAGTTATTGGAGTAATCTGTTTTTTTACACTACTCATTTCATTTGTTCATTTCTTGCTACTATATCATGATTAGTAATTTGGGTTGTTTGTTGAATAAGTCTGACCTTCCAAGAAAAGGGAGAACTTTGCTCTGATTGTTTATTTCTTGTCAATTGTCATCTTCTTGGTAGTATTCTAAAGAGTCTTCCCCACTTATATTCTTGTTTTTGGCTTATTATCTGTTGAGGCTAGACAGCAAAGGTCCCTTTGCATATTTTTCAGACTATAGTGGCTAGGGGAGCCTTGGCGTAACTGGTAAAATTGCTGCCATGTGATCGGAGGTCACGGGTTCGAGCTGTGGAAACAGTCTCTTGCAGAAATGCAGGGTAAGACTGTGTACAATAGATCCTTATAGGCCGGCCCTTCCCCGGACCTCGCACATAGCGGGAGCTTAATGCACCGGCTGCCCTTTTATATATAGTGGCTATCTTCTTTGATAGAATCTTGAATTTTTTTCTTTCTCACTTTCTTGGGCTCCATATGGGGGTCAATTGTTTGGAAGTTATAAAAAATAAGGGGACAACATTTCCTTAGCTGGGGATTTGATTCAACAGCTTGTTTGCTTTCATCATGTGTTTCAAGATTTAAATTATGGAAATCCAGGCCTCATGTGCAAGAACATTGATGCTTTTTGGATTGCAATTATATGCATGTGTTTTCATCAATATTTTTTTGTGGAAGTCATTCTTACACATCACCAAAAGTCTGTTCATAATCATTATCTTAATTCTTGGTAATTAGGCACTTTCTAAACAGCTCAAAGACAGATAATGGAATATTTATAAAGCACTTAATTATCTGGCAGTATTGAGTCATGTCTTATAATTAATATTAGAATTAAGTATAGTCATCTTTATGGCCTGTACAAATTGTTCTTTTTTAGTTGGAAATGAAGCTTTAAAATTCTATTCCTCAATGTGACAGGTGAGGTTCATGCATTTTAACCTGGCATTATTAGGTTTAATCATTCATTTATAAGATCCATTATTCTAGCTTTCATTTCACTAATAGAAATATTATTATCAGAAATGACCAACCAATGGCATGAGTCATGACAACACAAAGAGCAAAGAGCCATGGCCAGTCTGTTCTTTAAGTATATTCTCATTTAGTCTATTTCTTGATGGAAATTGAACGTGTTAAGATAAATTTAGAACATGGGTAAGTTAAATCTTCTTTTATTTTAAATTCCCTTTATTTTGTTGGGTAGAGGAGGAAGTGGTCACCATAAGTCGTTTGATTGGAGGAACTATAGTGTCAATATAAGATTCTGCATAAAATAATACACCTACTACCTTTGATTAGAGGGTTTAGAGATGGGAAAAAATCCCTGCATATGGCTTATGTAGCATTTGGTTGGTCATACAAAAAAATTCCTACATAGTTTTATGCATTTGGTTGACAGTATCACGTAATGGACGCATTAACTCACACAAGAATTTATATATATTTTTAATATAAGCTAGTGTGAGAAATAGCGCGGGAAATATATATATAGAGAGTTTTACAATCTATTTATATACAATGTTTACGTATATGTAAAGCTTTACATGAACTAATTTTAACATTTCCTCTCAAGTTGGTGCATATAAATTATATGTACCAAGCTTGTTACATATATAACTAATATGAGGATCAGTGATGGACTTGGTGAAAAAATATATGCAAGTTGATCATACGACTTCACAAACTTTGTAGTAATGTCCTCTGAGAAAATCGTCTCTCGGATGAAATGATAGTCAATCTCAGTGTGCTTAGTCTTCTCATGGAACGCTAGATTTGCTGCAATATGAAGGGCAACTTGATTATATACTCAAGTTCCATTTGACTGATTTCTCCAAATTTTAATTCTTCGAGCAATTGTTTAATGCAAACTAGCTCACATGTTGCCATAGTCATGGCTCATTATTTTGCTTTTGCGCTAGATCGAGCAACTACATTTTGTTTCTTACTTTTCCAAGAGACAAAATTACCTCCTACTAAAACACATATCCAGAACATCTATCAGAAGGTGATCATACCGAATCAACATCCAACAATATTTTCATGGTCTCGATCCTCGAATAGTAGTCCTTTACCTGGAGCTGATTTTATATACCGTAGAATGCGAAGAACTGCATCTCAATAATTATCTTAGGGAGAGTCCTTAAAGGCTTAAACTGAATTACAATATTCACGGGAAATAAAATATCAGGTCTAGTCATTGTGAGGTAATTCAATTTGCCAACCAGCCACCTACATCTTGTAAGATCACTAAAAGGCTCCCCTACTCTGGCAGAAGCTTAGCACTCAATTCCATAAGAGTGTCAACAGGTTTGCAGCTCATCATTTTTGTCTCCTCAAGAATGTCTAAAGCATATTTCCTTTGTGAAATAACAATACCCCAGCGAGCTCAATAACTAGAAAGTACTTCAATCTGCCTAGATCCTTAGTTTGGAAGTGCTGAAAGAAATGCTTCTTCAGATCAGTAATACCCTCCTAATCAATGCCAGTAATAACAATTTCATCAACAAAAAACAACCAGATAAACACAGATTAGGAGCAGAATGCCGATAAAACACAGAGTGATCAGCTTCACTATGAGTCATGTTGAACTCCTGAACAATTATACTGAACATACTAAAACTAGGCTCGAGGAGGTTATTTCAAACCATAGAGTGACTTGCGCAATCGACATACAAGACCACTAGACACCCCCTGAGCAGCAAAACCAGGCGGTTGCTCCATAAACTTCATCCTCAAGATCACCATGAAAAAATGTATTGTTAATGTCCAATTGAGAAAGAAGCCAATGACGAACAACAATCATTGACAGAAAAAGGTGAATAGATGTTACTTTAGCTACAGGAGAGAAAGTGTCATTATAATCAAGCCCAAATATCTGAGTATACCCTTATGCAACCAGAAAAGCCTTAAGCCGATCAACCTAGCCACCCGGGCCGACTTTGACTGTATACACCCAACAACAACAAACAGTAGACTTACCTGAAGGAAGAGAAACAAGCTCCCAAGTACCACCCACATGTAAAGCTGACATCTCGTCAATCATAACACGTCGCCATCCTGGATTAGATAGTGCCTCGCCTATAGACTTAGGGATGGAAACAGTGGACAAAGATGATACAAAAACATAATGGGGTGATGACAAATGATGATAACTTAAACCAACATAATGTGGATTAGGATTAAATGTGGATCGTACACTTTTTTGTGGCGATATTGATTTTTGTACAACACTAATGGAAAGTGATTTATGGCACAGCCTCTGAAGTTGCCGAAAATTGCACGATTACGAGGTTTTTCTTCCCGGATGTCGTTTGAATAATGTACAACGATAATTTTCTCACTAAAGCTCTGATACCATGTAAGAAATAACATGGAAAAAATATATTATCGAGATATTAAGTGTCTATAAAGACCTATTTATATATAATATTTACATATACCTAAAGCTTTCTCAATCAATGTGGGAACATAAACTAACTCTAACAGATAAAATGTGAAACAAGAACATATGTATAGCTATTTTACAAGAAATTCTCTTAAATTAGGTAATCTCTTCATAATACTATAATTATCCACCGGACAACAATTTCTACAATATTAATCACCATATAATTATCTTTTCAGTATTATTTACCTTATAAACACCCTTGTATAACTAGCTTGTTCAAACGACCACTAACAGTTTGCTTAGTTTGAAGGATATAGAAATTTAATCTCTGTATAAAGCTTCATTTTGATTATACAATGTTTGGTTTCAAGTAAAAACCCTTTCATTACTAACATAATCTTAACGCAAATAATACAACTTTATGTGGATTTAACTTAATTGAGAATTCATGAGTTATACAAAATGTGGAACAAGAAAACCCTTGACATAATCTCATCACCTTCTCTTAGTTTTATGAGTTCATGTGATTTTACCTCTTAGACTCCTGTGCTAACTCATGCCTAACACTTAAATACAAAAATACAAAAAAAAAAAAAGAAGTCATAAAATTAATGTACATTACCTCCATAAAGTTTGGAAAATAATTTAACTATCACGATCCAAAATTCAACTAGTCGTGATGGCACCTAACCCAACCCGCTAGGTAAGCCAATTTAACAACTAACGAGTTCCAATAAAATTAATAAAACAATTAAATAGAAGGGATTATCTGAATCTTATACATTCCCTAAGGACTGGAGTACAAATCATGAGCTTCTAGGAATAGAAATTACAAAGCGGGTATGAAATAAATACATCATGTGTCGGAAAAGTACATAAACAGAGTTTTATGAATCTAAAGCTACCATGAACAAGAGGCAGCTACAACCGGAACGTAGTACGTCTTCAAGTCCAACTCCCGTCGAACACAACAACATCATCAGTCAATATCTGCACGCAAGGTGCAGAAGTGCAGTATGAGTACAACCGACCCCATGTACTCAATAAGTAACAAACTTAACCTTAGGTGAAAGTAGTGACGAGCTGGAATAAAGGTTGGGTCCAACACCAATAGCCAACAACGGTTCATAACAACATAAAGCAAATAATAAAAGAAGTAACTTAGAGATAAAATGCTCAGCTTTTTTATAGTTTTCCGAAAATAGTTCTGCTTTTCAAGTATATTAGTGAAAATCCAACTCCTTTACCGAAATCATCGAAAATACGAGTAAGTTTGAAAACTGTGAGTTTTTCCAAAATCCTTTCAACAATAAATATGATGTTTCATTTTCAAATGGCATGAGGAAAATACATCTCTATGCCTGTATGTCATGTGCATGTCAAATGCGATGCGACTCAGTGATAAAACCATATGCATACTCTCAGAGTATCAATTCACTCAGTCATCCCAGTTACTCAGTCCTCACAGCCACTCAATCCTCACAGTCACTCAACCCTCCCAATCACTCAGCACTCGGCACTCGTACTCAGTAGGTACCTGCTCTCACTGGAGGTGTGTACAGACTCCGGAGGGGCTCCTTCAGCCCAAACGCTATAACAAGCCAATCATGGCATAAATCAGTAAAGACCGTTGCGGCGTGCAGCCGATCCCATACAATATAATCAATATAACATATTGCGGCGTGCAGCCCGATCCTATAATATCACTCTCACTCAGGCCCTCGGCCTCACTTAGTCATCAATCTCTCCGGTCTCTCTCTCACGGCTCACAATGTCATGAAACTAGCCCAAAAATAACGATATGATGTATCAATAAATAACAACAGAGACTGAAATATGATGTGTAATGAAGGAATATGATTGAGTACGAAATATCAATTAAATCAATAAGTCAACAGCAAGAAACGACCACTATAGGTCCCAACAGTACCAGCATATAGCTTAAACATGATCTCTAGCATGATTGATAGCTCAATTACTTTAGTACGTAGAGATTTCATGGTTACAGATAAGATCGGGTAATTACACTATACCACCGAAATAATGGAGTCACAAATCACATGGTGCACGCCACATGCCCGTCACCTAGCATGTGCGTCACCTCAACACCAATCACATAACACGACGGGGTTTCATACCCTCAACATCAAGTTTAGAAGAGTTACTTACCTCGAACAAGCAAATTCCAATACCGAGCAAGCGAAGCGGTTCTCCAAGAATGTCATCCCGCGCGTACCGACCTCCGAACGGCTCGAAACTAGCCAAAAGCAACTCAAATACATCAAATAAAGCCCAAGGGAACAATTCCAAATGATAAAGGTTGAATCCTTAAAACCCAAAATCCGGCCAAAAGTCACACCCGGGCCCGCGCCTCGGAACCTGACAAAACTTACAAAATCCGACAACCCATTAAATTACGAGTCCAACCATACTAGTTTCACTCAAATCCGACTCCAAATCGATGCTCAAAATTCAAAAACTCACAATATGAAACTTTAGGCAAAACCCCCTAATTTCTCTTTAAAATTCTTCAACCAATTACCAAAAATAAAGATAGATTCATGAAATGTAATCAAAACCGAGAGTAGAACACTTACCCCAATCCTTGTGATGAAAATTTCTCCAAAAATCGCCATATTCCGCAGTCCATAGCTCAATATGTGATAAAATGGCCAACCCTCGAACTTACAGCATTCTGCCAGCGATTCTCGCTTTTGCGGACACATGAGCCGCTTCTGCGACGCGAGCTCCGCTTCTGCGGACTCCACTAGCCAGCTGACCCCTCGCACCTGCAGATCTCCATCCGCGTTTGCGCAGCCGCAGGTGCGAAGCCAAATACGCTTCTGCGCTAAATCTCGCTCCTGCGTCCAAGATCTTCGCTTTGACGGGGCCGCAGATGCGCCCCTATTCCCGCTTCTGCGATCTATTCCAGCCAAGCCTTCCTTCGCTTTTGCGACCAACTGTCCGCATCTGCGGACTCGCATCTTTGTCCATTCTTCCGCAGATGCGGGAACACCAGAACCAGCAGCCTTCAGCAATGTACTATGAAACGGAAATGATCCGAACCTCGTCCAAAACTCACTCGAGCCACTCGGGACCCCGTCCAAATATACCAACAAGTCCCATAACATAATACAGACCTACTCGAGGCCTCAAATCACGCATAACAACATCGAAACGAGAGATCGTACCTTAAAGCGAACTTAATGAACTTTGAACTTTTCAACATCCACAACTCGTGCCGAAACATAGCAAAATAACCCGGAATGAACCCAAATTTTTGCATACAAGTCCCAAATGACATAAAGAAGCTATATTAATTCGCGGAACCATAATCCGAATCTGATATCAAAAAGTCCACTCCCGGTCAAACTTTCAAAAAAATCCAACTTTCGCCATTTCAAGCCAAATTCAACTACGGACCTCCAAATCACAATCCGGACACGCTCCTAAGTCCAAACTCACCCAACGGAGCTAACGGGACCATCAAAATTCCAATCCGAGGTCAAATACTAAAAAGTCAAACTTGGTCAACTGTTCCAATTTAAAGCTTCCTAGTTGAGAATCATTCTTCCAAATCAATTCCGAATAACCTGAAAACCAAAACCGACGATTCACACAAGTCATAATACATCATACTGAGCTACTCGTGCCCCAAACTATCGAGCGAAGCCGGTAGGGTCGTTTCATTAATGGAATAACCATTTAGATGACGAGAGATTATTCATTATGCACTAGTATCAAAATATTAACTGATCTTTCGTTCAACACCTTGTCATTATAGTATTATTATGATTTAATCTAGCCCTCTTAAGAAAGCTTCAAAACCAAAGTAGAGAATAAGGTTTTCTTCACGAATCAAACTGAATCAAATATATGAGTTTTAATCGCATTGGACTCTTAAAGTAAATCTAACTTGAAAAGTTTCTAATTGAGTAAATTAAACAGCTCGTGATCATGTGTTATATATAGCATGAGCTAGCCAATTTTCGAATTGGTAATTGAAAAATAGCCAACGTTTATAAATTTATTGAAAAATAGCCATTATTTTAGCTGGAACACGGAAAGTTCCGGCATAATATGCTGGATTTGGAGCTCCTGTGTATAAACTCCAGCACATTATTAAATTCTAACAAATTATGTTGGAATCTCATATGTAAAAAATTCGAACTCCGGCATATTATGCTATGATATTTCCGGATTTTTAAGGGTGTTTTTGTTCAGATTTTATCTTTACATGAAAAAGTGGCTAAATTTCGATTACTTTTGAAACTGTGGCTATTTTTCAATTGCCAGTTATAAATAGGCTATTTCTGATTTATTTTTTTCCCAAAATAATTTGGGCTTATAATTAAGTCATTATATTGATTTGATTGAACAATTGGATATAAGCTTAAGCATGACATGTTATGCAAGGACCTAATAGCTCCAATTATTAAATCTCTTTTCTCCATTTGGACAAGTCTAATTTGCTTGTTCCATCAAAAGCTGTCATTCAAAGGAAGGATATATAGAGAGCAAAATCCAGTCCATGTTTGCTTTCTTAGGGAAAAACAAATCTACTCCTGAATATATAAATCAATTATTTAGGCAAATTAATTAATATTATTGATCATATATAGTTGTCCTTGTCCATGTTAATCTTAACATGTAATGTTGCTATTTAATTTGTAAGCCTAAAACCTAATTATCTTAACTAAATCATGATTGTTTTTGTTCCACGTCTTTATAATCATCAACAACTCCTCTGATGATAACGTATATCTACCAATAATATCCAAGCATCAATTATGCATTAATAATTTCTCCAAAATTAATGATTTGTAATCTCAACATATAGTGTTGCGATTTCATAATTAGCCTAATACCTAATTATCTATACAGCTAATAATACATGAATTATTTTTATTTCACACGTCTTTATGATCATGCAACTGCTCCTCTGATGACAACACATATCCAACTATATTATCTAAGAATACTATATCCATAAGAATTTCTTCAAGTTAGTAATATGTAAAATACATTTTTTTGCTAGCCATATGTTGATCGGTCCATACAAAAATTGTTGCACTTCTTTTGCTCCATATATTTCCTTAAATTTCCCCCTCCTTTATTACTACTACAAATTTTACAAATGCATAAAATTATTTATTGCCATAATGTACAAAGTTATGGTTTCATATGGCTTGGCTTTAGTACGACGATTTTAGAAGTTTCTTCGATTAGTCAAAAGTACGAGGTTTGGATTAGTAATTTCTTTTTACTTTGAATTAGGACTAAGGTTTTGAATTCATCTTGATGAATTTAACAGATTTACTTTTTTTTTTTTTTTAAATGGACTTAAATGGGCTGGTAAACTAATTAATTATTCTTTTTCTTTATACAAATTTAACAGATTAGCCACTATCTCAAACATGGGAGAAGGGAGTGTTGGAAATGAGCATGGGCCAAGTCGGGAAGGCCTAAATAGTAAAGATTGCTTTACCTGAAAGTTAGGGCGATGTGCACAAATAGCCACTAAGAGCACCTGTCTTTACTTTAAAGCCAGTGTTTTAAATGTCTTTAGTCTTTAGCCACTGGTTTAATAAACTTTTACCTGACTGAACGAAAATACCCTTCTGCTACAACTTATACCTACACTTTTATTAACGATCACCCAGCAGCAGTAACTAACTTCAGCAGCAGCTTCTCTTCCGATTTGAGACTGTGATCGCTATGGAATTGCAGAAGCATCCCTTCCGATTTGAAACTGTAGAATTCAACTTTCTCGACCAAAAATCGACATAAATTTACAGTAAGTTATGCTTTTGTGTGTTTCTATTGATTTTTATTTCGTTACTACGAATTTGATGCTAGGAATTTGTTTTTTTTTTTGAATTTCTGGATTGATAAGTTTAAGGACATCGCGTCCTTTGATTATTTTATAAAAATTGAGCACAAAATGTTAAGGATTTGGTGCCATGATCGTTGTTACTAATATTAAGGACATAGTGTCCTGATTTTGCAAATTGAATTGAAAAAGTTAAGGACACAATGTCCTTAACTTTTTTTGCTGTTCTTCAGAATATTAAGCACATACTGTCATAGTTTTTCAAATTGTTTTGAAAAAGTTAAGGACACTTGGTCCTGAAGTTTAAGTTTGAAGTTGAAAAGTTAAGGACACTTGGTCCTGAACTTTGACTTACATGTTCAAAAGTTAAGGACAGGCAGTCCTTAACTTCAAGTTTCAAGTTGAAAAGTTAAGGACACTAGGTCCTGAAGTTTGAGTTTTAAGTTGAAAAGTTAAGGACACTTGGTCCTGAACTTTGACTTACATGTTCAAAAGTTAAGGACAGACAGTCCTTAACTTCAAGTTTGAAGTTGAAAAGTTAAGGACACCTGGTCCTGAAGTTTGAAAGGCAGTCCTTAACGTCAAGTTTCAAGTTGAAATGTTAAGGACACTTGGTCCTGAAGTTTGAGTTTCAAGTTGAAAAGTTAAGGACAGGCAATCCTTAACTTCAAGTTTCAAATTGAAAAGTTAAGGACACTTGGTCCTGAAGTTTGAGTTTCAAGTTGAAAAGTTAAGGACACTTGGTCCTGAACTTTGAATTACAAGTTCAAAAGTTAAGGACACCTGGTCCTTAACTTTGATTTCCATGTTACAAAGTTAAGGACAGTTGGTCCTTAACTTTGAACACCAAGTTCAAAAGTTAAGGACACTTGAATTTACAGTACCTATTCTTAATTATACAAGGATTGCTCTATAAAATATGTCCTGAGTTTCCCATTCTCTTGACTTGCAGGATGGAAACAATATGCATTATAGTTGCTTTTAATGGTAGATGGACTGAAGACTATAAGTATCTTGATCATCAAACAAAGCTTGTTCTAGTACCCGAGGCAATTCAGTTTCAAGATTTCATTAAACAGATCTTTGAAGTTATTGAATTGGATGGAGACAAGTTTGAAGCAGTGATATGGTATGATATCAACCTTGGAACAAGCAAGGGAATGCTTGTATCCAAATATTTAGATCTTCACACATGTATTGAGTTACTAAAAAGTCATTCACTCTTTAAGGGCTGTCGTTTCATTGTTGATATTTCGGAAAGAGTTTGTGGATAATTAAGTGCCTTTGAACATGTCAACAGAGAAACTCAACATGACAATTAAAACAAATGCCAACAGATAATGGAAATAGATATGGTTGAAGCTCAACCAATAACTGAAGAGGCGCTTCAAATATCTGATTCTATTCAAGTAGAAGGACAAAGCATTATAGAGATTGACAACGAACAAGCTTTGGGTATTCAAGTCTTAGAGAGTTGTCACGACCCAATTTCCATACCCGGTCGTGATGGCGCCTCTCGTGAAGACAAGGACAACCAACTAACCCAAATCGTCTCTTTAATATTTATTAAACATAAACGAATAGGTGAATATAGCTTAACGACAATAATAACCGGTATGTACAACCCAACACAACCCGACCGGGGTGTCACAAGTCACGAGCATCTAAAGAAACCTGAACACAACTACAGGGCCAATAATAATATATAAAGAAAAATTCTGGAAAATCAAAAGACAACATCCGGTGCCGCGAACGCTGGCGGTCACCTTGCTCAGCTACTATAGCCCTACCTTCAATCAGCTAATAATCCCGCTACCGGGTGAACAATACCTGCAACTGCACGCGAGGTGCAGGGAGTAAAGTGAGTACTTCCAACTCAGTGAGTAATAAAAGTAAATAATAACTGAGCAGCAAGAAATCACGTAAAGCAACCAACATGCTGTATAGAAGCCGGGTATAATTTTTTGAGAAAACAGTGAAATCTGTGAGATCTTTAGAAATATTTTGGCTCAGTTCAAATCTCCTTTGAAAATGATCTTTTCAATAATTACGAAAACGATTTCAAAACAGTTGGTGCTGATAGCACAGAAAAAAATCCGCCCTCGGGCATAAATACCATAGTATAACAGGTAAAAAGGGCAAATAAATATGCAAGATGAGCACATAAAAGTACGCCCCTCGGGCACCTCTCAAAACAGTACCAGCCCCTTGGGCTCAATATTAATCACACAGTACAACATCAGATAAACAGTAGAATCCAGTGAAGTATAGTAAGAAAATCTTTTGAAACAGTTAAAAATCAATCATACTCAACCAGTAAGTCAGCCATTGTTACCTGACCGGTCAGCCATTGTTACCTGACCAAACGCGTATTCAGTGCCATTGTTACCACTGGTCAGTCATTGTTACCTGACTGGTCAGTCATTGTTACCTGACCAAACGCGTATAACAGTGTCATTGTTACCACTGTTCAATATTTAATCACTCTAGATGGGTACCCGCGCTCACTGTGGGTGTGCAGACTCCGGAGGGGCTCCTACAGCCCAAGCGCTATCAACAAGGCCTGAAAGCCTGAACAATATCAACATGAGGCCTGAAAGCCTTCTCACAGCACACTCGAGGCCTGAAAGCCTCCTCACAATACACTCGAGGCCCGAAAGCCTCCTCACAATACACTCGAGGCCTGAAAGCATCCTCACATCACTCAGCGTATCCTCACATGTGGCCCTCGGCCTCAATCAGTCCAAAAATAATCATAAGCCCCTCGGGCATCAGTAAAGAAACAATAATGCTCAGCTCAAACAGTAGTTCAAATATCAGTTAAAACTCGAGGTTGAGTAAAAATATAGCTGAGTTCATGAAACAGTGTAATGACAATGGACTGAGTTCAAATAATATTTCAAATAGTGAGGAAAACAGTGATGATAGCTCATAGGGAGTTCAAACAGTCGGCAATAAGCCCCAAATATGGCAATAAGCCCAAGTCCTAGTGAAAAACAACAAGTCATAGCGAAATACGCGGTAAAATCAACAACCGGGACGGACCAAGTCACAATCCCCAACGGTGCTCTACCCCACGCTCTCTATCTAGCGTGCAAGTCACCTCAATATAGCACTATGGGTGCAAATCCAGGGTTTCAAAACCGCAGGATATTATTTACAATCATTACTCACCTCGAACCGGTGAAATCTCAAACCCGCGATGCCTTTGCCCCTCAAATCGGCCTCCACGCGCGCCGAATCTAACAAAAATCAAAGCGAATACATCACAATATGCTAAGGAAACATAACCCAATCGAAAAGACTCGAAAAATATCGAAAATCACGAAGTTGGCAAAACCCGAGCCCCGGGCCCACTTCTCGAAAAATTACAAAATTCACATCACCGGATTCCTTATCTCCTCACGAGTTCATACATACTAAGAACATCAAAATCCATCCACAATTGACCCTTCAAATCCCAATTTAAAAATTTGAAAATTCCAAGCCTTATTCCTCCATTTTAGCAAAAATTCAATGATTTCCTTGATGGATTTCACAATAAAAACGAGTTTTGAGTCCAAGAAACTTACCTCCAAACGTTCCCCCTTGAATCCCTCGTTAATCTCCTTCAAGAATCTCCAAAAACGAGCAATTATGGTGTAAAATGACCCAAAATCGCGACTGACGTGTTTTAAAACATTCTGCCCAGGTATTTACTCTTCGCGATTGCGGAAATGCTTCGCGATCGCGGAGAACAATTTTTCCAGCCCAAAATTTACTCTTCGCGATCGCGGACAACGCTTCGCGATCGCGATGAACAATTCCCAGCTCTTCCGGACAGCCTCTAGTATAGTGGTCATAACTTTTTGCACACAACTCCAAATTACGAATGGTTTGATGTTCTGAAAACTAGACACATAGGGATATAATTTCATATGTTTCTCATTTCTTGACTCCTTATACATTGTGAGATATAAGCTTCCAAAGTCATCCCTGTGTATTAGAGACCTTCCCGGGCAGCCTATAGTGTAACCACCATAACTTTTTGTACACAACTTTAAATTCCAATTAATTTAAATTTCTGAAAACTAGACACAATGGGCTACAATTTTCATTTTTGGATCATCTCCAAATTCCTTATAGATTGTGAGATATAATCTTCCGTAGTGGGATCAACGCAACAGAATATTTCTTCTCCGCGATCGCGAAATGCTTCACGCGATCGCGAAATGCTTCACGCGATCGCGATTCATTGGCACGTTTCTCACATTTTACTCACCGCGATCGCGACCAATTCGATCGCATAGAACAGTGCTGTAGCCAAAAACCAGCAGTTAAAAATGGCCTAGAAATGGTCTGAAACCACCCCGAAACTCACCCGAGGCCCCCGGGACCTCAACCAAAAGCACGGACATATCCCATAACATCATTCAAACTTGTTCCAATCATCAAAACACATCAAACAACGCTAAAACTATCAAATCACATCGGATTCAAGCCTAAGTTCTTCAAAAACTTCCGAAATGCACTTTCGATCAAAAAGTCTATCAAACCTCATCCGAATGATCTGAAACTTTGCACGCACATCCCAAATGACAAAACGGAACTACTGCAACTCTCAGAATTCCATTCCGACCCCTATATCAAAATCTCGCCTATCAATCGGAATTCGCCAAAATACTAACTTCGCCAATTCAAGCCTAATTCTACACCGGACCTCCAAAATAAATTCCGATCACGCTCCCAAGTCACAAATCATCTCCCGAAAGTCAACGTCCGGTTGACTTTTCCAACTTAAGCCTTCTTAAAAGAGACTAAGTGTCTCATTTCTTATCAAAACCAATCTGAATCAACTCTAACTCACCACATACCGGTAATGAAACATGAAGAAGTAATAAATAGGAAAAAGGGGCAGTAATACCTGATACGACGGGTCGGGTCGTCACATCCTCCCCAACTTAAACCAACGCTCTTCCTCGAGCGTACCCAGAGTTGTCCTAGAAGCTAACCAACAGCTGAATAACTTTACCAAGCATATACCCGTGGTGATCCCTCGTCACCCTATCTCGCATAGGTCCGATAACACAATATAGCTGAAATTTCACAGTCCATCTAAACCATAAACCGTAGAACCACCTTGCACTTTCCGAAATCATACACAAGATCAGGACCTCACATCTATACTCAGAATAAACCCGAACCAGCTGTAATAACCCATACCTGCAACCTCAGGTGAGATCATATGATATACCACATGGTCGAAACACTCAAAACGGTAGCCTCTATTCACAGCACTTGCCTACAATAACCAAATACCGGTAGAAAACCTCTTATCAACTAAGGTCTTATTGCAACACTCTCATATAATGCCAACGATAAATGAAACATGCTATAAATCGTAACCATTTCTCATATCAACCATTCATGAAGCTGCTTCCCCTTTTACTAATACCACAACAGATTTTCGGGCTGAATCTCGATATTATCCTTCTAACAAGCTGAAATCAAATCTGTCCGTATTCATTAATGACTCCAACGATCACCTCGAATCCAACACACCACTCTGGTGACACGACACCTCAATGCAGGCCTAAGCCACAACTTGCATAATACACGCACCAATGAGGAACGGTCTGAACATACCCAAATCAGGACAAATGACTCAAACGAAAGAGTTGTACCTCAAGCTCATCAACACCATTACAACCCAAGGCTGAGACCCCGTCTCACCTCATAGAAATAGAATGCCTGAATCTACCTCGAAGGGTCCTAACTCCACGTAGCCTCGCTACAATGCGCGATCATATCCAAACACCGTTACACATGAAGCACCTCAAGTCACTATGATCAAAATTGACAGCCACGCACATTTGATGTCTGTAACCAAAGCAATTCATTACATCCACGGTGAAACCAATAACATATGACACACAACCCGATAGGCCATAACCAATACTCCATTTGCTGAGCAACACTCAATCACTCTTCCCGCTCGACTTCCTCTATGAATCCCAAATAGGACCGCACCACATGTGCCTATAGCCAACAAGTCATGACATCCCACAGCACAGAAAGCAACTCATAGATCTTCCCAGATCCCTAAACAAGCTCAATAACGATAGATCCAACCTATCCCTCAACAATACAACTCGGGACTAACCAAGCTAACTCAAGCTAAATATGTAGCCACATTGGCCTGCCAACGAGCTCATTATCAAGAAGCCTGAAGCTGCTCCTTCCACTACTATAACTCCTGTCGGAGCCGTACAATACGGTGCCCGGCACCAAATCAACATCGAAATCCACAACCTCGCCCGGAAACATGCCCGGCCACTAGGAACGCATCCAAAAAGGTCACTCAACACCGGAACTGAATCAATGGTAGAAACCTCTGCACTGACATCCGTCGCGAAGGCCC